GCCGGCCGCAAGCCTGAAGGGTGGCTCTGGCTGGGTCGGTCCTCGGTGTCTAGGGGGTTTTCGGCCTCTTGAGGAAGGAGGATTTTGGGGTTCGCTCTTCCCCTTTGGGGTTAGCGTGGCATGCATCTCCCCGCTTTCTTCCCCTTTCCGCAAGCACGGGTGAGGGGTTTTGAGGCTGGTTCTCCACAGAATTGTTGTCTCTCTCAAGCTGCCGGGTGTTGCTGTGCGTGTGTTAGGCCACAGCCTGTACGTGAAGAAGAAAGGGTAAACAGAAAAAGTCTGGAAGCTTTAGGTACATCTGGTGCTCCCGTTCCTGTCCTCGGATGGGGCTGACTGCAGTAAGCTTCTCTGCCATCGCAAACCAAGTACTTCTCTCTAGGTTCATTTCTGCACAACAGAAAAACCCTTGCAAAGTTCACTTCTTCTGGACTTTGCCTGTGGTGTTTTCTTGTTAACAGAGGTCAAGTGAAACAATACAAGACGCGAATCATTTTTATCTCTTTCTTTGTTTTCCAAACAGCTCAATGGCACCCAAAAAGAAGTTACAGGGTCTTGTAGCAGCCACAGTCACTCCAATGACTCCTGATGGGTGAGTAGGAGCTTCCATCACAATCTTTGCATTGTCAAAGTTGCACTGTCAGCTGTTACCCTGAAACTTTGTTTTCCTGTTTCCTTATCCGGAACTGATGGTTGTTCGGTTTAATTTTTAAATTAGATCTCCGAAGAGTTTACCATTTCAGTTTTTGTGGATAATATAAAGCTTAGAGTGTACTTTTGCAACAAAGGTTTATAAAGGCTAATCCTCTTTATAGGCATGAAAGGATGAGGTTAATTTTGTAACCAAACCGTTCAGGCTTGCCCTTGGGAGAAGGGATAGGTAGGATGGGAAACTATCAGGTCAGTCCCACTAGTGGGTTCCCATCACCTCTGCATCCTCCCATCTCCCAGCAAGTGCTTTCGATCTGGGATGTGAAGTGTTGGGTCAGTGTTGTATCTCTTTTTCTACCGCTTTTGTAGGCGCAAATTAAACCATGGTAAGGTTATATGAGTACTGTAATATTTTTTTCAAGCTTGCTAAGACAAATCACAGGCCAGTCACAAAATAAAATCACAAATCACAAAGTAGAAAGAGCTCTTGAGAGCTAGGAAACCATTTTCTAAATCTGACGTCCTGTTACGCTTCTCTTGCCCCTAGCTAAGTCATGTACGTTTTCCTGTGTGTGTATATATGTGAGAAATGGGATCAGTGTAAACCAGAAGAAAACACTGCAAGACCTGGAAGTTCTGAAAGTGATGGCAAGCAAATCAGAAGCTGAAATCCAGCCTTTCTCAAAGAAAGGTTGATAAAAACAGATTTCCTCCTTACTGCGTTTTCATGTTGCAAGACTTGAGTTGTTTGGAGTTAGCAAAGGACCCTGACATATTCTGATAGGAGATGAGCCAAGAGCTGAACAAGTTTTTGAGGGAGAAGGTGGAGATGTGCTAACACGGTCTTTTAAAAGTGAGTCTTTATTTTTGAAAACTGCTGTACTGTATCAGTCAGGGAACTCATTTGCATTGCAGTCACTGCTTAGCTTTGTGTTTTAAAGGAAACTTATTTCTAATTTCCTTTTTTATTACTGCTTGTGGTTATTGCAACATGTCATTTGGAGAATGATCTGGGCCCTCTGCTGGGAAATGCATGGCCCTGGTAAGATATATCCTGCAAGAGCAGCTATGAAATTTTGGGTGATGTGTGAACCCAATAAAGGTCCCAGAATTGACTTCTAGACCACAGGGTTGGTCTGCATGTGTGACAACTTAAAACAACAGTGAAGTATTAATCACTGATAAACAAAATAAATTTGTTCTGGAGAGGAGATAAACCTAGAATTCTGTTTTCCCTGTTTGTCAGGGAAGTCTGTTCCTTTCCTCATCCTCTAGCAAGAGAGAGAGGTCAAAGTCACATCCACCAGATACCATTGCGCAGTCTGTGTCCTGCAGTTAAAAGGACAGGTTAGCTCTTTGCCAGCGCTTGCACAGATGCCTTTGTGCTCTCAAAGAGCACTCTTGTTTCCTTCAATAGTCCAAAAGGTTTGAGTGCCTTTTATCCTCCCACCTCTTCCCCAAAAATGTCCTTTGCTATGACAAGCCTTCAGTAATTGCCAGGTGAAATAACAGATTGGAACAAGAAATAATTCCTCGGGAGGAAGAGGAACTAGAAGAAAGTACATGACGTTCAGAACTGAACTGTTACCTGAATTGTTAAACTCATACTGAGGGTGTCATATCTCGGAGGATATCCACGTCCATGTATGTATAAATGCAAGGCTTCAAAAATATATAAGATTTATGTGGGTAGAGACTTACAGTAGCTGAGGTTCCTAAGCTTCCTTTCCTTTCAGACAAATTAACCTTTCGGTGATTCATCAATATGTGGATTATTTGGTAAGCGAGCAGAACGTGAAGAGCATTTTTGGTAAGTCTTGTTTGGCAGGAACTGTATTATGCCCTGGGTAACAGTCCTGTGATATCTTGCCTGATAAGATCTGTAATGGGAAAGTCTGTTGATGTGGGATCATAATAGATGTTTGTATTTATTAGAGAGAGCGTAAGCAACATTTCAGGGATCTGCTTTTGCCCACACCTCATTAGTATGCAGAATAAAATACAAGTGTTGCCTTCATACAGAGACGTTCCCAGAGACAGACAGATAATGCCGGGTTGGCAGCACTTGAATGATTCTCCCCTTTGCCTGAGCAAGATGCAATCATCCGATAGAAACACATCAGCTCAGGAACCTAGAGTATCCAGTGGACTCATCAACCCCCATTGGGCTTCTCGGAGAGAAACGGGGTGCTCTGGGTGATACCTCGGTGCTCACTGCTCCCATCTGTCTGTTCTGCCTCTGCCTTCAGAGCTTTTGCGATGGCAGAAAGCTTCTGCTTGGATAGAAAATATAGCATCTGCTAAACCACCTCGGTTCACAGCCTGGCATGTTTTAGTACGCTGAAGTCTGCTAAGATTTCGGATCAAAATTTCAGTCAAAAGAGTGGCAAGAGGAAAAACAGAGTGTGGCAGTGATTTCAGCTATGTCAGCTTAATCTGTGACTGCTTGTGACTGAACACACGTTTCGTTATTTTCTAGGGGTGCTTTAGCCTAGGACAAGTGGCTCTATTCATGACAGAGACTGCACATTTCATCTCAGGCTTTCTCCTTGGAGTGGAGGAGAGACTATTATTCAAGTAGTCATGCTACCTAGCTAGCCGAGTGTCCCTTCGTGCCCATGTCACAGTCTAACTCGCAGAATTGGAGGGAAGGAGGTAGTGTCTGGTGGAGGAGGAGATATGAGGGTGCAGAGTTCCAGTTTTGGCAGCTGATTCCACCTTCTTCCTCCCACAGCTGCTGATGCTGAAACACCTGGGCCTCAGGCACAAGCATTTAGGGCTGATAACACTGTAAGCCCCATGTAGACGCTGATGCAGAACACTGTTACCTTAACATGAATTGAGGGGAAAAATATTTCTGTTTAGTGTCATAAAAATACCAGTAACTGTCTTCAGTAAAACCAATGCCTGTAGGGCAGGCCTCAGCAAGCGTGTTGTGTTGTGTTGAAACAGTGAATGGCACGACAGGAGAAGGCCTGGCCCTTAGTGTCCAGGAGAGGAAGCAGCTGGCAGAAGAGTGGGTGCACCAAGGAAAAGACAAGTGAGTAGCTGAGAGGGAACAGGAGATTCCAGACTTCATATTATGATACAGGCATACCCTGATTGCAAAGCCACATCTGCTCATGGCTTTTCTTTGGGTATTTTGTTGTTGGGGTTTGTTCCCCGAGGTCCTTCATAGAAGTATGTGTCTTTGTCACTGCTGAGTAGCAGGTATCCATTCCCACTGCTTAGAGGGCTTGTAAGAGTCCTCCTCTCTTGGTACATTATGGGGCTCGGGGGGAAAAAAGGGGCTCTGGCTCTGGGCTTTTCCTTTTACTTATTCTTGACAAGAAATGAAAGTAAAGGGAGAGCTGCCTATTTAAAGCCCTCTGAGCATTTCAGAACCCTTTAATATATTCTCTGAATGATTTGATACGGGGGAAGCTGAGGCGTAAAGCGTTTCAGTGCTTCCCTAGAGATGCAGAATCCATGGCAGAGGGAGGAATTCGACCCAGATCTTCTGAGACTCTAGCTGTATATCTCCATACAGGTGTATTCTCTCCCTCCAGAACCTGTCATAGTCCTGTATCACTCAGCCCTGCTTCCTCTTGGAAGAGGAGGAGGAGGTGTTTTGCGGTGGGAGGGACAGTGAGAGAAAATCCACTGGTGTGAAGACTCTCAGTCTGTGTGGAAATAAAGGAGGAACACAGAAATGGAACTGATGAACTGGAACTTGGGATATTATGTTGGCTGGAGCAGGCAAACGGTTAAAGGTGCTGCTGTGAGGCTGAACTCCTCTAGTAATTCTGCAAAGCGATAGCTTTGGAAAGCAAACATACACTTTGATATCTATTCTCTTTCCCAGCTCCCCATTAAATCTTAACATCTTAATTTTAACTTCTTAATAAAATACTAAGATTTTTCACTCACGAGAGCCTTGCAAATATGACAGGAAACAGTCATACCTGATTTATGTTTGCAAATGTGCATTTTTTTTTCACCACCGGCTGCTTACCAACGTAGGCATTTTCCCCCACGTGTCTACTCTTCAAGTCAGCACAGATTCAAATCCCTTTTAGTATTAATTTAGCCCAGTGAAGTTCTTGTTCTGTGGCTCCCTGGTTTGAATGGATTCATTTTGGCAGTCTGGTATTTTTCCCCATCAGTAAAGCCTCCCCGAGTCTTCTGATTTTGTTCTTGTGCAGATTGGATCATGTGATCATTCACGTGGGAGCGCTAAGTCTACTGGAGTCCCAAGAGCTGGTGTGTATACGATATGATTCCTTTTCACTATGTGTGTAATAAATATAAAGGAGACGTACCTTCAGGTGTCTTCCATTCCCTCTTTTATAGGCAAGACATGCAGCAGCCATAGGCGCTAGTGGTATTGCTGTAATAGCCCCCTTCTTCTTCAAGCCCACGAACAAAGGTGAGTAGATGTGATTGCTGGACTTGGTCAAGCCATTGGCAGTCTGTTCTGGCAAAAGAGATCTCGCGTGCTCTGAGGACCAATGATAGTAATACTGCTCCTTGTGGAGCAAGTGTAGCTTTCCTCTGTGAGTTAGAGCTGTTTTTCAGCTGCTTGCAAGATTTCTCTCCCGACTCCCAAATCTGAAGGATCTTCTGAAAGGGCAAGCATTTGAGCTAGAGCATCAATCGTTTATCGTAGATCTCTTATGTGCCATCTCCTTTCTTTGGAAAATGTTCTGATGATAATGTTTGCGTAGCTGTGATGTTTGTTACCGTTTAAAAGCAAAACCTAAAAGGAGTTTTTAAATCTGGGAAACGTCGGAAGTCTTGGAGGAAAAAGCAGGATGGGTGTCTTTTGAGATGTTAGGCTATTGTAAAGGGAAGAGTCGTTTGCTGAAGGTATAAATAACTAGTTTGTCTTCTGCATAAATAGTACTGAGTTCACGCTTGGTCTGGGTCACACTTGAAAAGTCCATGCTGACCACTGGTGGACAATAATCAAGTTGGTAAACGCCTGATACACAGGCGTGCATCTTGCTATTGAGGAGGTTATGCTCGTGGCTTGGTGGCACACCCCAGACCCTAACAGGGTTATCTATCCCTTGGTTCTGTGCATCTCAGGTTACTTCAAAACGTCTAGATTGAGTATTTTGCTTTTAACATAAGAAACATAATCTGAAAGAACCACATGATGTGGAGCGTTGTAACAGAAATGTCATAAGATTGGTCTGAATTAATTATGAATGGAAGTGTACATATGAAAGCACCTGAAGAAACAGGAGAGAATGCATTGCAGGAATGGCCTGTACTGTGTAGCCAAGGACACAGTCAAACTGGTAAACACTGAGGAACAGCACAAAGGTGAGCAGAAGACCTTTGCTGTGATAACAGTAGAATGGCAGAAAGGTTTCAACGCGTTGCTTTTGCCATTCCTCTTCGTGCTATGCCAGCAGGAAGATAGACTGTTACCTAAGATTTATGGAGGATGCGGTGAACGAGATTCTGAGGAAGAAGATGATAACGCTGTAATAACTATTTGATTCCTAAAATGGTACAAGAAAAGCTATCCAAAATCCAGTTGTTCATCACCAATCAAGCAGAACCCAAGGGAGGTGATGGAAACTTGATCCGTTGTCCTCTGTGTTGCACGCAGGCGATCCTGGCGAGACCACTTTGGGACATATGTCTTGGAGTTTACAAGTGAGAGAATCTGTGAGTTATAAGGGAATGAGCGTGAGTGACTGAAATCAGTTCAGTTTAAAATAAATACCGTATTTGCCTTCGATATGGTCCTCCTTGGAGTTTTGTTCCATTTAATTTTTATGATAGGTGTAGGATTTTATATTTATTAGCTGTGTATAGTATGTAAACTGTAGATGCATGTATGTGTTGCTGTTCTGTATGGAAACACATGCAGTGAGACTATTCACAAGTTACTTTTCTGGGGCTCCTGTGCATGGTAACTCTGAAACGTAAAAGTCAGAAAAATGGCATCTCCACAGACTGTGGCTGCTGTGAGTCTGAACTGCCTTTCGCTATGGATAGTCCCCTTCTCTTATGGGGGTACTTGGTTGCTTTCTTCCAGATGAGCTGGTTGCTTTCTTACGGGAAGTTGCATCTGAAGCCCCTGCTGTTCCATTTTATTACTACCACATTCCTCCTCTGACGGGTGTAAAGAGTAAGTACCGCTTACTCAGCTCTTCCTGAGCTGGTAGGCTCTCCGCATCCTGAATAAACCCAGTGGCTGGGTTTTTCAAGACTTACTATTTAGCAGAGGAATAAGGAACAGAATATATATCTTAGTTATTTACTCTAGACATCAGGTTATGCGGTGCTTTTGGGTGTATGAATTTGTATTTATTCCTAAATATGTTTTTGCTAGTTCATTCCTAAACTTCCACTTCTCTTTTTTTTTTTTTTTTTTTTTTCCCTTCTGATATGGAAAAAGGAATGCTTCAGAGAGGATTGAAGGATGTCTGTGATGTAACTTTGGGAAATAAGAACACTGAAGTTGTTTTACTGGTTGCTTTATGTAGTTTCCAGGCTTATCCCAAAGGGGAATAACTTGTAAAAATAAGTCTCTCTCTCCCTCTTGGGGAGGAGGCAGGGAAGTCTCTCAGGACAGGGATGTGTTTCTCCATGCGGATTGCTCTTCTGCACAGTTCGTGTTGAAGAGTTGATGGATGGGATAAAAGAGCAGATCCCCACCTTCCAGGGCGTGAAGTTCAGCGACACAGACCTCTTGGACCTTGCACAGTGTATAAACAAGAATGACAGAGAAGAGTTTGTATTTCTTTATGGGGTGGATGAGGTAAGAGGCTCCTCTTAAAAATTATTTTTTTTCTAAGGTGTTCTCTTGCTTCAGCCTAGAGGAAAAAATTGCCGGACATTGAGTGCCGGGTAGTTTTGCTCTTTCTTTTCCTTTTTTTGTTGTTGTTATATATTTTTTGTTGATGTTATATAAAGTAAAAATATTCTTTTCCCCCCTCTCCCACCCCAAACTAGCAACTGCTGAGTGCACTGGCAGTAGGGGCAAATGGAGCAGTTGGAAGGTCAGTATGTCTTGGACTCCTTTTCCCTTCCCACAAACACTTTTTTGTTGTATCTACCACTGTCTGCGTAGGATTTATCTAGTTATCTTCTATTGTAATGGTGGAGGACTTTGCAGGATAAGACTGCAGTGCAGAGCAGACTGATGAGCTAGCTCTAGTGCTAGCAATGAGACAATTGCGTAACCTGGACCTCAGAGTATAGTGGTTTGGGTGATTATTGCTGCAGTTTGTAAGCTGACCCAAGGGTTATAACATGCTACTTTATGCTCACAGCAGCTTTCTGAAGTAGGGAATTTCTTTATCTTCATTGTATGGGTAAGAAACCGAAGCCCAGAGAGGTTAAATCTTTCACCTTCGTTTACCCAAGAAGCCTGTGAGAAAATGGGCTCTGGGACAGTGTTTTCTGAGTTTAATTTCTAATTCGTCTTTTCCCCCTCGTGCTGGGCTGCTTAGAGGAATTATTGTATGATATTTCTGCTCTTATGTAGATGATCTATTAAATGAACAGAAAACTGGGAAATGAAGTGATTGCCCTTCAGTATTGCGTAATTGTATCTTTTTGTTTTTAATTTTGAAAAGCAGTTCCATTTGGAAAGAACTGGGGAGAGAAATCTGAGCTTTAAACTCTTTCTTAGGGCTTGGCATACTTAACGATGCCTGACGTTGTGAACGCGTGCACGGACTGCATGAATCTCTGTCACAATGACTGTATTCTGATAACGTCAAGACAGAAGGCCTGGAGGTTACTTTTTCTGTTTCAGTGGTTCTTCTAAGCCTCCCTTGCATTTGCCATTCTTTCTTTTTGGCAGTACATACAACTACTTGGGCCAAAAAACCAATACGATGTTGCAAGCTTTTGCACAGCAGGACCTTGCATTAGCACGGAAGTATCAGGTACAGTATCCTCCCTGTTCCTACTGGGAGCAGCCTTCTTTTTCCTCTCCTCTAAATTGACTGGGATTATGCTCATACGCTGAGGGAGCTGTATTAAAGGGACCTTCTTTCAGCTCCAGCCCCTTGCTTGTTATTCGTTATCTTCTCACCTTTTTGACCAGTATATACCTGTCCTTACTAATTTATTTTTAACGAAGAACAGCCTTACCCTTCAAACCTCTGATCTCACCTATGCAACATGAGAAATGCCCTGGCCTTTTTCCTTGAACAAGCCCACAGTGGCCAGGCCCCGTGGCTAGGAATAATCTGGTGATACCTTACATGATGGGCCGCAGAAAGCTGTTGCTAGTCAGTTCTTTTCATCTTGGGCTGCTTGATGATTTGTGAGGAGTTCTGAGCAGTCAGTATACAAACCGTACCCAATATCTGCATCTTCCACTGGGGTGTGTAAGACGTTCTTCTTTTGTCTTAAAAGAGAAATGACTGCAGGATGAAGCTGTAATAATAAAGGATGATCTGCTCTGGAAATCTCTTTACCAGGCAGTGGAAATTCAGATCTGTTAACCTTTACAGCCTGGTATGAGACTTATCAATGTTTTCATACAGCTTGCTGCACGGGCAGGTCGAACAGGAGTAATAAACTGGGGAGTGATGGGTTTTCTCATATCCTTCCCTCCCTCCCCCATTCCAGTGGAATTAATATCTCACATAGACTGGCCAGGTGTCCCAACAGCTTTTCCCGAAGCTGTGCCACAGTTGCATAAAATGTAAATATCATAATAGCTTTAGATGCTTGTACATCTTACAAATATGACAGAACAAATAAACTGCTGTCTGTCTTTTCTAGTTTCGGACTGGTGAATTTCTTAACTTTGTCATCAAACTAGGTAAGTCGTACATTGCCCCGTCTCTTGTTATGTCTTAAAATGCAGACTCAGTGCTCCAGAAACCCTCATGTGGCTGAATTTCCTTCCTGAAAGATTTCAGGAGAAAATGTTGCACGTGGTGTTTCCTGAATTAGTAGCAGCTGGGAGCTCAACAAAGGGAGGGGACCAAGCCTCCCCACAAGATTTCACTCTCACTTCCTTCCTTCTACTGGGAAGTTCTACAGCTTTAAAACAGTCTTTCAGTGATTTACCTTTTTACCTTTTTTCTTATCCTGACTCTTCCTGTGTGTGTTTGTTTTTATTATTATGTCTCCAAAATCCCATTTCTGGCTTATTTTCTTTGAGAGTCATTGGCATCAAATGATGGTGCCTCAGTAGGAACGAGCAGCTCTGATACCTGTCTCTCCTGTCTTGCTATAGTGTAAGAATAACTGCTCAAGGCTGTACAATGAGAATAAGGCAAAATAGATTGATTTTTTCTATCTTTAAAATAGATTGATTTTATAGAAACAAAACCAAATTTTAATATAAAAAGCGCTAAGAACAACAAAGCTGGAGTACTGTAGGGAGACTGAGTTGGATGCTTCATGATTTTCACACAGTTGAAAGAATTGTTAACTGTGCTTTTTTGCTGTACGTACTGTAGGTAAGCCTCAAAGAACTGGCTGAGCTTTAGTTCTTGGTTGTATTTCTAGAGTTAAAAGTCAGAGGAAATACATTAACATTTAAAGTCTTATAGGTATAAGAGGCAAATAAATATTATATGTTTAAGTGTAGTAAGTAGATGTATTCTTTACTGTAACGTCTTTCCTGTCTGCAAGCACAATCATCTCTTCTTGAGTTGCCCTGTTCTCACTTCTGGGAAGTGCTTAAAGCCTGGTTTATGCAGGCCTACACAGGAACTGTATGCTGTTGCTTTTTTGGACACGTATATAGAGACTTTTAAAAGTGAAGTGATCTGTAAATTACCTGATTTTTGCCTTTGTCTGCCCAGGTTTTGGTGTTGCTCAGACGAAAGCTGTGATGACTTTTGTTTCTGGCATTCCCATGGGACCTCCACGGCTTCCCCTTGTTAAGGCCTCGGAGGAGTTCATCGCCAAGGCCAAAGCCAAGCTGGATAGCATTGTCTGGCCTACCAACTGATTTCACTTCCGTATGGACCGTCCACGTGGATAGGGAATCCCTTTTCTGGGTTTCACTATCACTTGGCACGCTCCCCATGTGACAGGCTGATTTGGCTGTGACTCCTTTCAGGGAATTTGCAGGCTGCCTGAGCCCCTTCCTGTTAGAGCTGGCCTTGCTGGCACACATCTAGCCTTCTTTTCATTTAACCTTACCCAGCTCCCCGGGATTCTTGCACATCCCAGAATAATGAGCTGCTGTCTTTCAAAGAAGCCAATTTTCACCAGTAGAACGGTCCTGGCTCCTTTTGTGTAGAAAGCGAGATCGATCTCTACACTCCGCTGCTCCCTCCAGCTGGATCCTGCTTTGTCCTCCCGCTTCACCAGCATGTCCAGTGCTGCAGTACGTTTTTATATGCTGGTTGACACCGTTTGGATGCTCAGACTGATAATTTACTGTTTGTCATGACGTCCTGGCCCATTATCATGGGCTCATTGTCGTGACGTCCTAGCCCGCTATCCTTACTTATTAGTAGGGAATCTGTTGGGGCACTGTCTATTTGTGTAAAATCCTGTTTTTATCCTTTCTGATTATCTTTGCTCACCTTCACTTAATGCAAAATTTAAGAAGCTTTTGTAATTAAGAACTTTTGGCTTACTAATGAATGGGTATTTCTCCATCTTTCTCCTTGCAGCAAAACTGAAGCTGGAATTGAATTGTAAGTCTCTATGCAAATGCAATGCAAAATATACTGTATTACGTTATTGGGTGGTCATCTGTGGTGAGATTAAGAGGTCCTGTTTTGCACCCCGGACCTGTCTCTCTCCCCTCGCCTTATCCTTTCTCTTCTGAGAGTATTTGTATTTTGCAAATGTAAGATCCCGTGCCTCCTGCTGCTAGGGCTGTAGGTTCTGACAACATTCTTGCATGCAGAAATGATTGCACAGTGTACAAGGATATTTGGAAGGAGAAGAAAAGAGATAGGGCGATGTGGAGATCTAGTTCTAAACTTTTCATGACCCACTGTGTGAAATATCCTACTAATTTACTTTGTAATTACTTAACACAAAATATGGACTAGTACAGGTTTCCCCAACCCCCTCCGAATTTGTAAGAAATTTAGGGAAGCTTTCCTCACTCCTCGGACATGGGAAGAGAGCTAAATCAGGCTGTGGGTGCTGCATATCTTTGGTAGTTCACTGTGTAACTGTTACTCAGGCAAAAGTAGATGGGGCCTGCAAGGCAGAAGCATAGGAAAAAACACAACCATGAACATGAAACAAGAACTGACTGTTAGGCTCTTTCTTTTCTAATAGAAACTAAATATTTTTATTGCGATTCCAGTGCTGCAACCTACTGATTATTTTAGTACATGGCACATAGAGGTAAACGGCACCTAGATAAGGCATCTTTAAATGATTGTTTTCTAACAGATCCAAGTTATTTTGGTTCAAAAATTTTTATACTTGTGTCTATCAAATCTTGAAACCGTTTCGTTATGTTTTGACTCACTTCAGTATTCAGTATTGATTATAAACCATTATTTTAAATACTTGTATTGCTGTTTCCTTTCTCTCTTCTGGAAAAATGCTGTTGGTAAGGTAGTAGGGGAGTAGGCGTGCGGGAGGCTTTCAGGGTTTGGTCATCAATTTTTTTTTTTTTCCTTGTGTCCCTGCAAGGAGATTCTGTTAACATTAGACCCTGTCAGCATAAAGTTCTTTTGCTGAACTTTAGCCACGTGAGCTCTTTTGCAGAAGTCAGCAGGACTTCATGGTTGAGTAACATGTAAACAAGCGTACTAGGCACAGCAGAAAGTAAATCCTTTTTAGAGGTTGGCGTGGGGAAGGTTTTGACCACCTGGTTTGCTCCCCAGGCTCCTTGCTGGGTCATCACTTTGCAGTGACCGTCTTTGAGTTCTGCTGTGTTGCCTGGGCTTTGGTCTGTTGTCTCTATAAGGTGACTGGATCTTCTGCGTAGGTCCTGTAGGTGTTTTTGGTATCTAGCTCTTCGGTGTGCAAGAAAATTTGCATTTTCTACATCTCCGAGCGAGGCAGTCGCAGAGCAGCAGGAGTATGGAGGTGTATCCAGCACAGATCTACCTTGTCAGCTGTTGCCGGTCCTTCTGTTGACTCGTCCTAGCAACTAATTATTCTGTCCCATTCTCTCCCACCCACCCCCCCTTTTTTTTTTAATTTAGGGACCTCATTTTCTCCTTGACTTCCTATTTAAAGAGTCATATTTTTGTTCTTTATTCGGGCTCCCTTCAAATTACGACAGACTATCAGTTTTTTTCCCCCCACTTTTTATTGGCTCGTGTGCGGATGGGCCGACCTAAGCGTAGACACGCAGCGTTGCTGAACACGCGTGAAAGCTGTGTCGGGGGCG